TCCAGCTCCCCAGCCCCATTCACAGAATACAAGAAGAGCTGGTGCTACAACTATTCCTTAGTCACCCTTTGCTCATTCCCAGTGAGAGCAGAATGTAAACTAATATCACCATGGGAAATCCACTGAGCCCTCCACTCCTGCTATATCTACACTGGGTTAGTGAATTTAGTCAATGGAAAGGGTTTTTAAAAGACAAGCTGTTTAAAAAAAAATAAAAAATTAAATAATAAAATTATCTTCAAGGCTCCTTTTTTTTGGCCTAGCAGTTACAAAAGAGAGAGACCTCTCCCAAAGGGTGTGACCATAGATGGCCTGACAAAAGTGAGTGGAGTGCCCCTGTGGGTGCAAGGCATTCAACCTAAGGCACTCCCCACCAGCCTATAACTGACCCTCCAGCCTCCTTTGGAAGCAAGGTGTCTGCATCCTGGGGAAAAGGATGTCTCCTTCTAGTTGCACTACCTGAACTTAAGTCAAACTGTTCTTCAAAAGGATTTTAATTATGACTGTAAAAAGTGTTCAAGGTGGCTGTCTGGATGCAAAATCCTGGTGGAGGCAAGATAGGTGGGCTTTTAACTCCCTGTAGCTAGCTGAGGCCAATCTTGGGGAGGAGGGCTTCAGAGTTTCACAATTCTGTAGTAAAGACTCCAACTGAACTATCTATTTAGGAATCTAGGTCTTAAGAGTCCATTTCTGGCTGTGATATTTTGAGATTAGTTCAGTTGCTGTGCTCTTTCAGTCTTATTTGTGAGACTTGCATGGGTGTAACTAAGACTATTGGCAGTATATCTGATTGATTGCTTCAGTACAAACTCTGTGTGTGGAGGCTTCATAACTCACTTAAGATGAGCAATTTAGCATGTGATGCTAAACTGTATTTTAAACTAAGTAAGCACATCTCTGTTGTGGGTTTGCACTTGACTTGAAATCACTAGTTCATGTTTGTGGCAAAAATTTTACACCACTAACAGATGTCTTTTTTTTTTTCCCTTTCTGTACCATAAGAGAAATGAAAAGAACTAAACAGCTGTTTGAGGAAAAGGATTGGATCTCTCTTTTTCATTTTGCAGAAAACTTACAGCAAAAAGTCAGTATGAAGTCCTGCTAAATTAAAAGTTCTTTAGGATCTGAATTGGAATTGGACAGTTCTAGTAGAGGTTGTCATTTGATTGATCGAGTTACATTTTGGGGGGGGGGGATGTTATTATTCCCTTAAGAATCACTCAACAATAGACCATAATCTTTTTTTTTTTCTTTTTTTTCCCCCTACAGAAAATATATTTTTATTTAAATCATTTTTCTGACTGGATCATTTTTTAATGTGGAAAAGCCCTGAGATTAGTCTCCCAGATACTCACCTTTTTGCAAATCTGTGATTACAGTAGTCTTCTTGGCCCAGAAACTGTTCCTTGGCCAGAGGTTATTCAGGCCTGGTTTATTTAGGTATGGTGCCTTCAAGAGGGGAGAAACTAATTGGGTGGATAAATCTGAGTTTCAGGTTCTTGTCTCCAGCTGGGTGAAAAGGTGAGTATCTTCTGGAGAACAGTGACCTGAGCTGAAGCAGAGTCAACAGGCTCTGAAGAATGAGGAGGACACCCACACAGGTTAGCTGTGCTCAGAGCTGTGACTGCTGCAGAGCCCTAGATGCTACCTGTACATAGTCTATTTCCAGCTACCACCTGGCTGAGCCACGTGGGTGGTAGCCTCTGGGCCTGAGGCTGCCAGGTGGGCTTTGCTGAGGTCAGAAGCGCCATGTCCTGCAGTTGCCCAGAGTGAACTTCATCCACTACAGGCAGATACTGCATTACTACCAGCACTCGTCATGTTGCAAAGGGAGTGCACTCAGAGCTGTGACAAAATACTGAGCCTTCCTTGCTTTAATCAGGTTCTTTCCATTCCTCCTGCCTTTTCCCTCTGCAGGGCTCAACTTCACTTGATCCTGTTTACCAGGAAGCTGAAATTTCCTTAGTTTTTCCTTCTTTTGGGGAGCCCTGCCAACAGTGGTGGGGGCTGCCTGCTGATGGAGGTGTAGTAAAGACACTTCAATCCTGTGCACACCTTCATTGTGGAACCGTTTCCCTTTCTAAAAACAGGGGAAGCTTGTTTTGGGAGGTACAGTGAGTTTCCCCTGGCAGTGCAGCAGGTTCAAGCTGGTAGCTCTGTGCTGGCCTGGGTTTCCCTAGCTCCCGTAGCTGAGTTCCTGCAGAAGGTAGTAGGAAGACCTTAGTCATTATGAGCCCTACATCACAGCAGCTGCAGAAGGGGTCTCTATTCTAGTCTTGTCTCCAGGACCGGTATTTGCCTTGGATGGTACTGTGGCAGTCAGGGGTTGTTTGCCACCCAGTCAGATCCATCCACCACTGGGCAGGTTTGTTAGAGCCAGATGAAGGTTGTATTGGGGAGGTAGTACATCCCCACTTTGCTGTAAGTGTACCGATAGTGCTATACCGGTAGAGCTCACTTAATACGACAGTCATAACCTATCCATTTGGAAAAATGGATGAAGGTGCAGGTATGGCATGCAGATGGGGTTTAGGGCTTACCTGGGATAATAATTGCTGCGTGCCTGAGATGGGCCGAGTGGTGGCTTGCACAGACCTGGGGGACAGAAGTGGGTCTATTCTGGCCACAAGGCTCTGCATGCTACTTGTGAGATGGACCCTCCTCCCCCCTTGGGCAAATATGTGAGCTCCATCAATCTGTGAGCAAGCCAGCTCCTTGCCCTGTGCCATGAATCTTTGCTAAGGCGGAAGTGCCTTCACACTTGGCTTTGGGAAATGCCTGACCAGAGGGCAGCAGTTTAAAAGCTAAACTATTTCACTCTGCTATGTTCTCTTCCCCCCCAACCCTCTCCGTCTGCTTGCTCTCTTTCTACAAGGATGCTCTTATGGGCTTTCCCTTCAATGCATCTTGAGTCCATTTTTCTGGGTCCTGAGGACCTAGGCTGTCCCTAGTAGGGGTTACAGCCATCTTCCCACCTAGTTTGCAGCACAGATGTCTCAGATTTCACCGGTGAAAGGCTTTGTGTGATGATCACAGGCAGCCCTAACTGGAGAGTGACACAAGGAAAGCACACCATCCTTTGCTTTGTCTTGCACACAATCAGTGTTTTGGCTGTCCTGGGAGGTCCCTCCAAGGGGCCATTTGAGCTCCACCCCAGCCCTGCTTGCAGAGGCCTCCCTACCATTATGGGGGGCTGGGCAAGGAGGTGAACGGGGGTGGTTCAGAGCTGCTGCTGTTGGCCTCACCATTAACACTTCTTCATCCACACCAGTGTTGCTTCATTTGACTTGCTCTCAGCCCTCTCACGCCCAACCTTTAGAGCAGCTGTGTGAGAAGTCCCCCTTGGAGAAGGGCTCTGCTGGGGGAGCCGGTGCCTCCACCAGAGTGGTGGGCTGCCGAGCAAAGCACACTCCCCTCCAACACTGCTTGAACTTCAGGGACTACAAATCAAAACAGTTCAAGATTTGAAGGGCTGAGAAGCTCTCAGCCACCCTCCACCCTCCTCTGGCAAGCTTGGTTTTCACTTACTGCCTAAGACGATGCTTTTTAAGTTCCCAACTACCTGTTAACATTTTCTCTCCAACTACTTTTCCCCACAGTTATTTTCAAATGGGCCTAATAATCACACCAGCCCTATTAATAGAGGCTGGTGTCTCAGCTGAACTGCTCTTGTTCACACACACCTGGCAGGAAAACCTGGCCCTCAGCCCATCAAAACCTTGAACAAACCCATCTAATGTGAATGAGGGCTTGAGTTCCCATTAATCTGATCCAATTGCTTGACAGCCTAATGGGAGGGGGGCCTTCAGAGGTTTTTAAGGTATTTGGGCTACCAGTGGGCTTTCCAAAGACCCTTTCATTTCAATCAAGATGACTTTTTTTTTTACATTAGAGTTCATTGATTGTGCGTTGCCTGAAGCTAGTTAAGTGCTTGTAAAGAAAGGTGTGGACTCCATAACTAGACTTGGAGGAAGTCTCCACAAATGTGTTACTTTGTGTAAATTAAAAGCTAATCAGGGAACTGCAGGTAACAAATCTCCATCCTAGACATTAGCTGTGACTTCAGCCCCTTACAGGAGCAGCTCTGCTGCCCTTCCTTGTAGATGCTGTTCCCATCAAAGGCCTTCATGGCACTCTCATCCCCTTGCTCTTTTCCCTGTGGGCTTAGCCAGGCCTCCAGCTGGGTTCACTCCCCCTTAGTGCTTCCTCACTCTCCAGGAGCTAGGCTGGGTACTCTCACCTCAAGGACCCTAAGATCCCACCCTGACTCCTGCTGGCTGTGCTTGCCCCTGAGAGCACCCAATCCACGCTTGTGGGGTGCTGCCCATGCTGTCCTCATGCACATACACATGTGCGCACACACACCCCTCCCCCCAGTGGAAGGATGATGCTGTGGCTCAAGCTGAAGAAGGCAACACTACTGTCACCCCTTACGGGACCTGGACTAGACCGGGGAACTCTAGAGCCTGCTCCCCCACTACTGAAAGGCCTACAAATAGCTAACAAGTGAATACAGCTTGAGTGTTGGGCCAGGCACTGCTATGGGACTCGGCCCCATGGCGATGACATGGTGGCTGCTGCCTTCCTTCTTGAGGAGGAACTGCCAACAACACAGACTCTGACTTACAAGGATTTGCACTGAGTTGGGACCCAGGGTGATGTGAAGTGGAGCAACATCATTATCCCAGTTCTATAGCAGGGGAAACTGAGGCACAGAGTGATTCACCCGAGAACATTCAGGGAGCTTAGGGCAGAGCTGGGACCAAGACCCAGCTGGCTGGGTTGGCAGCTGCCCATAGGAGACAGCCGAGGAAAAATGCTTTCAAGCCTCCAGAGTTGCATTCTCGCAGCCTGATGCGCTGCTTTTCAGTTCCAGCTCCCGGGGATGTGGAGTTAAGCAAGACTCTTGGCTTTCAGTTGCAAAGAAAGGTTTTAGTCCTTGTACTTGCCTGAAAAGCTAACCCAAGCACGGCATGAAGGCACAGAAACCAGACAGCAAAGAAAAAACAATATATGGTTTATTATTTTTTTTAAAGCTTATGCTTTAGGAGGCCCAAACCTTGGTGTTTGGACCTGTGCAGCTGGCACTACTGACACTGCAAAGAGGAGACAAAGGTAGCTGGGCAAGCAATTTCCCCCACACAAGCTCCCCCAAAGGTGTTTCAGATGAGCAGAAGCCTTGCCACTCACAGGGGAGCAGCTGGCCATTTGGTGAAATCCACGTGGGATAGAACAGATTACCGTAGGCCCTACCCTTGAGCATATGACCCTTTTCACAAGAGGCCTGTCATGCTGAGTAGCTTGGTTTTGGGGTCGAGCTGGGAACACCTGCCCAATTTGATCTTTTCTCTGCTTTTCTCACAACTTGCCCTCCCAGCACTTCCCATCCAAAGCAGCCAGGGCATTCAGTCCTACAGAGCTCATTAGCCTGACCCCATATCTAACCAACCCAGCCATGGTAAAGTACAGTGTGGTGCTTCCTGCACATGGAAGCAAATACTATCTCCAAACACTCATGGACTAGAAAGCAACCCAGAAACCAAGCCCTATTTCCCCAAAGGCTCATGTCATTAGCCAGCTGCCATGGCTGAAGGCAGAATATGGCCCTTCTGCCCTCAGTGAAGCCCCCGTAACAGCCTCAGGACCAGTGGACGCCACTTGCATGGCTCAGCGAGTCTTTATCGGGGGGAGGGCAGCTCAGATGTGCAGAAGCAGCATCCAGGCTCCTGCAGAATTCACATGTCCCAACACAGTCAATCCATACGGAAAGACCCGTCCCTGTAGCTTAAACCCCAGTCTGTGCTTTCCTCAAGCCCACTGAGTTAGGCTCATCCCTGGTCCACCTCCCAAAGTCCTTGCCTACTTGAGAAAGACGAGCATGAAGAAGATGGACACAATGAGGATGATGATGCCCACGGCGAAGCACAGGCGTAGATTCTCCACTGAGGAGATGGGCGGCTGAATGTCCACAGGTGTCACCCGGCTCGGGAGCCCCACCACAAAGGTGTTCTGCACCTCCTGCATGTGGAACCCATGCCAGGCCCCAGGGCTGGCTGGAACCCGGATGGCGTTCGGAGGGACCATGCTGCTGACAGTGAAGACGGATGAGTGGGTCACATAGTTAAAGTCCATGTCCAGGGACAGCGTGGAGTCACTCAAGGAACATTCAGAAGCACTGGGGGGTTCCTCCTCCTCCTCCTCTTCCTCCCCCTGGGCCTTGTGCTCGGCTGCCAAGACACCAGAGGCGGGCAGGCTGCTTTGGGCTGATGTCTCCCGCAGGATGTCCTCGTCATTCTTCAGAGCCTGCAGCCCCTGCTCTGGCACCAGCGTCACTGTTCTGCAGAAGGGGCAGCTGATGAAGGAGAAGGCCCTGTTGTGGCAGACCAGCTTCCGGAGGCAGGAGAGGCAAAGGGAGTGATGGCACAAAAGCAGCTTGGGCACCCGCCACCTGGAAGGCACCCTGTAGGCTTCATAGCAAATCCCACATTCTCTGGCGCACACATCCATCAAGACGGCAGTTGTGGGGGGCACTTAGTTCTCACAGACTGGGCTCTTGCACCTGGCCCTGGGAAGCAGAGGGGTTTCTACCTATGCTCTAGCTCCAGCCTCTCCTAACACCCATCACTGTGACTTCAGGCTGCTGTAGGAGCTATGTTCAACTCAGCTTCCCCACTGGAGGAAATGGGCATCAAAAGAAGTTCATCCAAATGACACAGGAGTTGAAATTGGCCAGTAACAAAATCCAGTTGTGCAGGCTCTTTCTGTCCTCAGGTCTGAGCAGGCCTCTTGTCTTGGCTTTCCTGCTGTAGAAAAAACAGATTGTCAAGGGGCAAATGGACATACCCCACACTCCCCAGGCACAACATGGGCTCAGCTTCTCCTTGTGATGATCAGACAGCCAGACTTTGTAGTGAGTGGACAGACCTGGAAGGAAAGGCCAGGGCATGCTCTGAGCCCCTGCTTTTGAAGCAGTCAGCCTTGCTGGCTGCTGAACTGTAGTCACTGAGTAACAGGCCAGTACTGAGTGAGATGAATCACTTGCTGCCAGGCACTGTTTGCACTGAGATAAAGGCAGTGACTGTGAGTGGCTGGTGGCTATGTTAGGGGGGCTACACCCGGCCTGAACTTTAATCACTAATTGATGATCTGTGAAGAGCAGGCCCTGGCATGCTCGCATTCTTTCCCCTCCTTAGCAGGGGCTGGAGGGGGCTGCAGTGAAGCATGCAGCACCAGGACACGGGGAGAGCACCCAAGGCTCAGCACAGCCCGAGAACGCTGCCACAAACCTCCCTGCTTGCAAACCTCCAAATGCTGCCACAGACCCCCCTGCAAGCCCTGGCCAAACAAAAGCAGAGAGTGTAGTTAGCTGTGTTAGTCTGAAGTCATAGAATCGGAGAATCATAGAAAGTTAGGGTTGGAAGGGACCTCAGGAGGTCATCTAGCCCAACCCCCTGCTCAAAGCAGGACCCCTCCTCAAAGGGACTTCAGGAGGTCATCTAGGCCAACCCCTGCTCAAGTCAGGCAGAAGGCAGGGTACATATTCACTTTACAGAGTAACTAAATCAGAGACGTAAGCTTTTGTGACCCCCAAGAAATAGGGGTTTCTGCACCTCTGCTAACCAGCCGCACGCCCTTGCTGTCAGTGTGGCACAAATGACACCTGGCTGGTGCTGTGGCCCCAGGATATTCCCCATCAGCGCATTCCCTTGCTCCCTCTTTTTCTGTTTTTCTGGCCTTTGGCTCAGGGTGGAACTTGGCCCAGGGCTGAGGGATTGCCACCCATTAATAAATGAGAACCACAAGCAAGTTCCTGTTCTGCCACGCTCACATGCCCAGGAACACTTTGGAAAACTATTTTTAGTCACTGCCCAGAGTACTGAGGCAAGGGTTGGGGCAGAGAGTGCAGGTGGTGCATCACACAAGCCGGCCATTTGTTCAATAGTCCAGAAGTTTAATTCCAGCTGACCCCAAGCCCGGTTCTCAGTAACATGGGAGGGGGTCCTCTTGTCCTGCCACTCTCCTTTCTGCAGCCATGACAGCCACAGCTGAAGGGCTGAGCCAAGCCGCCCGTCCAGGCAGGAACAGAAGAAAGCAAGGACACTGCTTCCAATCTGTGGGTATTGCCACCCATGCTCCCCAACCAGACATCACACCCTCCTCCCTCGAAGAGTGACGGGTAGAGTGAAGGTAACTTGGGGAATATCTGCTGACCCTGAAATGGAGCCACTTGTGATGGGGGGGGTCAAACTCCCTTTTGCTGGAGAATGGGAATGGCCTGGTCCCATACTCCATCCTCACACCCACATGAGCCCTGTCATACCCACATGGCAAAACCTCTCTCCCTTGCCTACTACTTTAGGTCTATACTACCCCAAGGGTTTCAGAGCACATCCATGGCAGAGTGCCACGGGGCAGACCTGATGACTCAGCCATGGGGTCAGCAATGTTTTGGGACAGAGTGCCAAAAACAGCTGCAGCCTCAACTTATAAGAAGTTGGCATGCGAGTGGTAGAGGGCAGGGGAGCCACCGGGGGCCCAGTCCTTGTTGCGGCTGCACAGCCCTGACCCCTTCCCTGCCGTCTGCCCCGAGGCACATATGCCAAGCAAAATGCCTTTGCATGACACACTCTGGCACCCATGCCAGGGGTTGCCTACCCTTGACTCTCAGCCCCCAAGTGACTTTCAATGTGATCAGGGGCTCAGTCTGGATCCCACAGTGAAGGATTGCTGTGTCCAGCTGAGACCCCAGTGCAGGAGCAGCATTCCCCTGCCATGCACAGGGCATGCACATCCCAGCTCTCCTGCCAAAGTTTGCCCCTCGCTGCCTGGGGTGAGGGGGAGCACAGAGCCCTCTTCACCCCCATGTTGGGTGTGTGTTCTGCAGCTGGGCAGCCTGCTCCCTGAGAGCCTGGCTGGGTATCTGCAGAGAGCAAACGGAGCAAGTCTCTGAGATAGCCCAGGCCTTACCCCCACTGTTTACCCTCAGGCCTGCTGTTGACAGGGGATGTTGAAATCAGACTTTTCCTCCTCACCCATCCTTGAGCTGTGAGACAAAGCATTGACAAACAGCGCTACGTGCTGCAGGGCAGGCAGGGTGTCAGGCAGGCAGCCCTGTGCATGCAGGCCCCTACTGTTGCTCTGACCCTCACCGCCACCCAAACAGTTCCCTTCAGTATGTATCTATGAAGGAACAGAACGGACCTGGACGGACTTGATGTCAACCCAGCATGCTGGGGTGGAAGGGTAACGCAGCTTAGCCCTGCAGCACCACTCTTTACCCAGCCCAGCACCTCCATTAGAAGACAGGAAAGGTGGCACTTGGAAGTCAGTGAATACTGGGTTTACCTCTACCAGGGTGGCTCTGATTCACCACTCCTGTTCCTACTGTGTTTAATGGTATGAATACAACCATTTTTGCCATAAGACTTCTCCATCTTGAGGTTATTTATTGGCTTTATTAACATTAACACAGGAGGACACTCACTGATCATTAACTATTTTCTGCGCAAACCCTGCACTGAACCCACCTAATTTGCTGCTTCATTAGTAAACCTGATTTTACCACCATACCAAGTGCTTCCTGACTGCAGCATCACTCTTATAATACACTAGGTAATTTATCTTCATATCTCCCTCTATTATATCCATCATTTTACAGCTGGGGCAGAAAGCCAAGAGCAACAAGGGCCAAAACTTTCTAAAATAGCCACTAATTTCAGGTGCTCAGCTTGAGACAACCTGTGTTTTCCAGAATACTTCACATGTTCATACGTTCATAGCAGGACTCCAATCAACTCCTATTGCTGCTGAAAGCACCTAGATCTATGGCAAATTAGGCTGGGCACCTAGAAAGTGCACTGAACTATTAGTGATCAGCTGTGCAACGTTTAGTGTAACAGGTTGCAGCATCAAGCGGGGACTTGGGGCAGAGGCAGGGACAGAATCCAGTGTTCCTGTGTGACATCTTATTGAACCCTGAGACCTGCTCTTGCCAACCCCTTTATCATTAATTGCCCCCTTCCAATTTTTGTATCAAGTAAAGTAGAAGCAAAGAGATAAAGAGGACACAACAACCCTGTTTCATTTGCAGAGCCAGTCCGTCCTTGTGCTCAGTGAGGCACGGTTCCTGGGTAAAATAGTCTTAATGGAAAGACTGCATCACAATGCTTATGCCCAGGCAACTTCAATCCTGGCTTTTCCACATTTCCTAACTTTTAGGAAACCTCCTGACCTGGAGGGGATTTGAGGTATTTTTGTACAGCAAATGTCCAAACTAGCAGATTTAGGAGTAAGAACTTTTACCAGGCAGAATCATATTAACCTCCACTTGTCCCATCAGCCAGGGTTCAGACATGACAGGCCTCTACTACATGAGCTACTAGAGTGACCAATAGCAACAGAAGGATCGTACCCTCTGTGTAGACAATCTCACTGAAGGAGATTGAGACGCACTTCATTTGTGGGTTCACAAGTATTTGCTGAGCAGAGAATAGGACAAGAGAATAGGCCTTATGAAGAAAGGCTGAGAGCCATGGGACTCTTCAGCCTGGAAAAATGCAGGCTCAGGGGTGACCTGGTGGCAGCCTATAAGGGTGTGCATCAGGATTTGGGGGAACATCTGTTCACCAGAGCACCCCAAGGGACAAGGACCAATGGTCACAAACTCCTCTGAGACTGTTTTAGGCTGGACATAAGGAAATCTTCTTTACTGTCTGAGCCCTCAGGGCCTGGAATAGACTCCCTCCAGAGGTGGTGCAAGCACCTATTCTGGACTCTTTTAAGAACCATTTGGACACTTGCTGGGATCCTTTGACCCTAGCTGACATCCTGCCCCTGGGGCAGGGCTGGACCTGCTGATCTTCCGAGGTTCCTTGCAGCCCTAATGTGTATAAAATCTATGAATGCAGAGACCAGGATTCCCAGGGTCCATTCCAGGAAGTTATAGATCCTTCTACCCCAGTTGGCTCCCATCTGTCCCCGTTCTTCAATATTTCCTATCCAGCTCTCTTTTTGCTCTTGACCTTTCCACTGTGCTCCTATCCAACCACCTCTACTGCCGGTCTCCTGCCCCTTTCCTTTCTGAAACCATAAAGCTGTCCAACTCTTCCCCAGTTCTTGGCAACCTCCCTACTCTTCCCCAGTTCTTACCCTCATATCCCTCTTGCTCCCATGCTCCATCCCCTTTTTCCGTAAACTCCTTCCCACTCTTCCCAAAAGATTGTGTGCACTACTGCAGCTGTAAGATTTATTTGAATATGGGCAAAAGGATATATCTGAAACATATTCTTAATCTAATTTTGAGAGTTAACTGAACCATCTTAATTAAAGTTCCCTCCCCCCAACCCACATACATTCAGTCTGAGCCAGACAACCTGCATGGAAAATTGTATCCCAAAAATGTTATAATTTGGTGAAGTTATAAACAACTGAAACAAAGGACTTCTAATAGGAAAAGTCAGGCAATTTATGCAATCCTATCAGTGCCAAAGACCATAGGGGGAGGAGGCTTTGGGAGGGGAGAGGGACTGACTAGACCCCAATGTAAACTTGCTTTGTTTGCAAATAGAGTTATCATTGGTTTCCTAGTCATTAGCCTTGAAAATTCCTCCCTGGATCCGAGGACCAAGCCAGGCTGTCTCTCTGCTCAGGCATGAAGCACAGACAAGAGAGAATCAGCTTTACTAAGGTGTAGGTTTTAGCCGTGTTGGTCTAAGGACATAGGCAGACAAGGTTCTTTGGGTAAATCTATCTTTTATTAGACAAACTCAAACCTTTGAAAAAATTCTTCTTAGCAAGATTTTGGGTATAAATAGCCTTCATCAGGCTGAGGAAGCATCTGCAGTTGGTCTTCCTGGATGGAAGGAATTCCAGCCCTAAACTTCTGTGAATCTGTGAATAGTAAAGAAGCCAGAGGCTGGTATGCATGCAAAAAAGGCAGTCACTGACGTTGTAAATTGAGGACTTCTCAATAAATGGTAGATTACTAGACCAGCCCAGGACCCCTGGGCAGTGTGCGCCCAGCCAGGCTGATGGGATGGGGCTGTGGGCAGGCAGGGAGCAGCATCCAGGAATGGGACAGGGGAGCAGGGCTGGGATCATGAGGTGGTGACAGCTTGGGTCCAGGGCCCAGGGCAGAGTTGAGATCCATTCCCCACTTGCTTCTGCTCATGGAACTGGCACCCATTGCAGGTGTGTGTGGAGAGTGGATTGCAGCTCTGCCCTCTATCCCCATGCTGTCACTGCCCCACAATCCTGGCCCTGGCCCCAGCCCTGCCCTTCCTGCTCCCAGACACTGCTCCCCGCCTGCCCATGGCCCCATCCCATCTACCTGGCTAAGCATGCCCTGCCTGTGGGTGTCCTGTGCCAGTTTCCATAGAGAACCTGCCTGCACCATCCAACAACCCCAGCAGTGGGTGCATGGTGGATGGGCCAGGGTGCCAGGTCCAGCTGCACATGTGCCATGGCTTGGGCTGCCCCCACCCCACACCTGGGCTGGGTGGGGCCAAAGGAGCTGCCATGGGCTAGATAAAATCCCTTGGTGGGCCACATCTGACCGGCAGGCCCTATTTTGCTCACACCTGGTCAAGACCTACAGGGAGATTTGGTTAAGTTCTGGTGTCTACACTTAAAAACAAGAGTTTACAAAACTGGAAAGGGTTCAGAAGACAGACACCAGAAATTTTTGTGGGCTAGAAATCTGCTTAATAGAAAGAGACTAAGATCTATTTAGTTTATCAGAGAAAAGGTCAAGAGGTAATTCAACTGAAGTACCCTCCACAGAAATCTGACAACTGAGAGTCTACGAGCTAGCAGGTAAGAGCAAAGCAAGCAAAAATAGCTGGACACTGACATTGCAAAATTCACATTGAAAACAGGATGCAAAAATTACAGCTTTGCAGGGCAGACTTTCCATCACTTGGAAACTAGAAATCAAGGCTGGATATCTTTCTAGAAGACTTGCTCTATTAAGAGCTTCAGGCTGAACACAGGACTCTTTGGCAGGGGAAAGGGGTCCTCTATTAAGGACTTTCTGTGTAATACAAGAGGTCTGACTTGATGATCACAAAAGCCCCATCTGGCCTTCCTATTTGTGCCAGAGAACAGAGCTGCTGAGCAAACAGGGACCATTTTTACACACTCTTCCAAAAGGAACTGTGCTTTGAGAGGGTCAATTCCAGCCAATTTATGGCCAAGGCTAGCTAGAGAAGGACAGTTAGAGGCATTAGGGGCAGTCCGGGCACAGCCGAGCACTGGGGGACCCTCAAGGAAGAGAGGTTCGGAGGCTGCAGACGAAGTTTTATATGTTGACCACATAAGCCACTTTCTCTGGTTCATGTGGCTGGAGCTGGATACACAGGGAGTGCAAGGTGGATTTGGCTTGTATGACCAGCACAGCCACTCCCATAGCTACACGTCCCCCAGCTGATGCTAGCAATACCCATAGCCTTAGCCATCCCTCCCCCTGCCACAGATGGAAAAGGGAGCAATGTCAGACACCATTTTGTTCCCGTTCATTTTCATACTTTATTTTCTTCCAGGAATACGAGACAAACATGGACAAACAAAACATGTCAGAAACAAGAATTCACTCAGCAGTTCCTAGTTAGAGACATTCCAGTAATTCACTCCCCATGGCCAGAGGACGCTGGGAATCGCTACTTCCTGGCTTGGGATTTTCCACGAACCTTTGGCTTTGGGCTTGTTTACGGGCAGGCAGTGGACCTTGCCTCAAGGTTCAGTCATTCATTACCTCTCTCTTTGGCATAGCCCTGAGATGTAGTGAGGCAGCATGACAAACGCACAGGATTCAGCCTTCAGCACCAGTCAGGGCACTACCCCTGAAGTGAGCAGAGCTGGGAGAACACAGACATGGTAGCCTCAGGATGGAACTTGATAGTTACAGGACACGGACTAAGTAGTGAAGCAAGGCTTTTTGCAAACACAGCAACAAGAGCCAACTGGACAAACTACCAAGTCTCCAGTACGCAATTGCACATAAAAGCTGGAGAGAGAAACAAGTCTTGGTGGTGGTGCCTGCCCACCAGCTGCCCTCCAGCACTCCCATCCCTAAGAGTCCTGCAGTTCACAACCTACCTTGGCCCATCAGAAGCTGACCTGCACAGGCACTCCTTTCCTCGCAGATAAATTATTAGACTGTAAGATGTGTCATGCTGCTGGGCTACTTCCAACATCTGAGCTAGCTTGGGATTTCTGCAATGCACTGTAGTCTAGAACAGGGGTTGCCAACTGGGGGTACACATACCCCTAGGGGTACTTGGAAAGGTCCAAAGGGTGTGTGGGGGCAGGCGAGGATGGAGCATTGCCTCCCACCACCTCGCACTGCCACCTCCCAGAAGCAGGGTCAGGGGTGGGGGAGGGTGGTCTAAGGGCAGCAGCACCCGTCTGTGGGTAGCACAGGCACCGCCTGACCTGCTGGACGCGGGGCGGGGAGCTCATCCACCACCCCATGCTGCTGCCACCCACCACCCCACAGTACTACTGCGCACCGCTTTCCCACGGCTGGTCACACATGCGGCTCTGCAAGCTGCTGATGGGCGGCTCGTGATTTGCCGGGGGTGAAGCCCATCATCAGCCCATGGAGCCACGTGTGGTGGGTGGCGGCAGCATGCAAGGCCCTCCCCACCCCACTCTGTGTCTGGCCACTGCCACCAGAAAGGGTACTTTTTTTAAAGGTTGAAAATCCCTGCTCTACAACATACCCAGCTCCTCAGACCTTGGGGAATGAAAACCCAGTACAGGAAAGTTAAATCCAGGCTTGCTATAGATCCACCATTGTGTGCAAAGCCATCAGTGAATACACATCTGCGACAGCCACACAAAATGCTTCCAGTGCTTCAGTGTTCTCATCCATGTGGATATTCTGTACTCCACATGGACAGGGAAAGGGGAACTCTCTGAAGGAGTGGCTAAATATGGGGCTAATTAACCCTCCATTTAACTGGCTTGACAGCCTTGAAGGGGAGAGCCTGACTCAGATTCAAAACGTATGGGTAAGTTGAACCAAGACAGCAGATAAAAGGGCTGGTATCCAGTGGGGCTGCACCAGTGCCACAGGGGGAAAGCCTGTACATGCTGCCCTCCTTCCCCTAAACCCTAACTGGTTCCCAGTTGTACATGCTCAGGGGACCTTTAAGAAAGGACCTCAGAAAAGAACACATCAAAGACCCTTACCAGGACAGAGCTACAGACAAGCCTGATCCTTTATGCAAAGGCAGGGATGGCTTTGAAGTTATTTTCTGCCTGAACTTAAAGTTGACTTTGATACCCAATCAGACATGCACCAAAATCAGGGTCAATGGAAAACAGGGATGGAAAGAGCCTCAGGTCACATCTAGCCGAACCCCTGCTCAAGGCAGGATCATTTGTGACAATTGTGGGAGGTCCTGGACGACTGGAAAAGAGCAAAAACAGTGCTCATCTTTAAGAAAGGGAAGGAGGAGGATCTAGGGAACTACAGACCAGTCAGCATCACCTCAGTCCCTGGAAAAATCATGAAGCAGATCCTCAAGGAACTCATTTCTAAGCACTTGGAAGAGACGGTGACTAGGAACAGTCAGCATGGATTCACCAAGGGCAAGTCATGCTGATCAACCTGACTGTCTTCTACAAAATAACTGTCTCTGTGGATGCAGGGAAAGCAGTGGACATGATAGACCTTAACTTTAGTAAGGCTTTTGATATTGTATCCCACAACATTCTTGCAAGCAAGCTGACCAAGTATGGGTTGGATGAAAGGACTCCAAGGTGGACAGAAAGCTGGTTGGATTGTTGGATTCAAAGAGTAGCAATCAATGGCTCAATGTCTAGTTGGCAGCCGGGATCAAGTGGAGTGCCCCAGGAGCTGGTCCCTGGGCTGGTTATGTTCAATATCTTCATTAACAATCTGGAAGATGGCATAGAGTGCACCCTCAGGAAGTTCATGGATGGCAAAGCTGGTGGGTGTAGTAGATACACTAGGAGATAGGGCTAGGATTCAGAGTGACCTAGACAAATTGGAGGATTGGGCCAAAAGGAATCACATGAGGTTCAACAAGTGCAAAGCCCTGCACTTAGGATGGAACAGTCCCAAGTGCCACTACACACTGGGGACTGACTGGCTAAGCAGCAGCTCTGCAGAAAAGTACCTGCGGGTTACAGTGGACAGTAAGATGGATATGAGTCCCAGTGTGCCTTTGCTGCCAAGAAAACTAATGGCATACTGGGCTACATTAGTAGGAGCACTGCTAGCAGATTGAGGGAAGTAATTATTCCACTCTATTCTACATTGGTGAGGCCACATCTGAAGAACTGTATCCAGTTTTGGGCCCCCCACTATAGAAAAGATGTGGACAAGTTGGAAAGAGTCCAGTGGAGGGCAACAAAAATGGTTCAGGGGCTGAGGCACATGATTTATGAGAGGCTGAGAGAACTGGGCTTATTTAGTCTGCAGAAGAGAAGACAGAGGGGGATTTAATAACAGCCTTCAACTACCTGAAGGGGGTCCAAAGAGGATGAAGCTGGACTGTTCTCAGTGGGGGCAGATGACAGAACAAGGAGCAATGGTCTCAAGTTGCAGCATGGCAAGTTTAGGTTGGATAATAGGAAAAACTCTCTCACTAGGAGGGTAGTGAAGCACTGGAACAGGTTACCTAGAGAGGGGGTGGAATCTCCATCCTTGCATGTTTTTAAGATCCAGCTAGATAAAGCCCTGGCTAGAATGATCTAGTTGGGGATGGTCCTGTTTTGAGCCAGGGGTTGGACTAGATGACCTCCAGAGGTCCCTTCCAACCCTAATTTTCTATGGTTCTATGATCCCTGCCTAAACCATCTCAGACAGGTGGATGTCTACCTGCACTTAAAAACTTCTCTAGGTTGTCTCTTCCAGTGCTGAACCCCTCACCCTCAACACCACTAGGCTACAGCTGCCCACAAAGAGAGGCCTGATCATGTACAAAGTGCAACACAGCTGAGGAAGATGCTACTAGCCTGCTGCTCTCATATGGAGTCCCATATCAGAATGGAAGGACCTTATCCTGGGAAACACTAGGTGCCTCCCACATCTCTGGAGTCCACAGGAGTGAAGAGGCCTCAGCTCCTTGGAGGGGTGGACTCCAAGGGTATGTACAAGACAGGAATAAAAGTCCATGGGGATAAGGAGAGCAGGGGATAGGGCAAACCAAGGAGAGAAAAGCCTCCATTAAAGCCTCTGCCCCTTTCACATTTAGAACGGTGTTTCACTAGCTGGCTGCCTCCCTCCCTCCCTGTGTGAGATATATAGCCCCTGGCCCCCCACTGCCATCACACTGGGTTCTGACACTGTTTTGGGTCCTCAAACAGATTTGAAATGACCACATATCCAACACATACATATCACTCCTCAGGCCTGGATTGCTCTCAGTATCCCCTGAAACCCAGGGTGCATGCAGACAACACTGATTCCCACAGGTACACATGGATACGCCAGCAGCACAGTGGCTTCTGCTGAAATACTATGCTATTGACTGAGAAGGGAACAGGAGTGGGCACTGGCCCCAGAGAAGGAGTCATGGCATATGACCCTGTCTACAGACTGAAACTTAAATGCAAGGCAAAGAAAACCTCTCATCTGACAGATCTGCCCTGCCCTGCCCTGGGCTGCAGCCTGATGCTGACACCCACATGCTACAGCAAGAACACACCCTCTGAATTCTCCCTTATACAGCTCCAAATACTGAAGGAACCAAGGAGAGTAGCAGCAGTGCTCCTCTGTAGACCCAGGCCTGCTGTAAGCAGGGCTAGCTCTGCCAAATGACCCTTGGTCTCTCCTCTTCTAGGCCTCTTCCTCCCCTCATCTCTGCTCACAGCCCTGTCCCCCTCTCCCTCCCACCCCCGAGAATCTAGTGTTGAGCCAACATCACCGGTTATGCTGAGCTGGGTCTTTGAATGTAGACAGAAGCAGAAATATAATCCCAAGAATCTCATTTTCAAGCAGGTCTTGACCTTCTGCTGATGGAAGAGAAAAGTCAATGCCCAGCTCCCTGCCTTACCCACCCCTTCCACTGCCTCATGTTTCTAGAAAGAAAAGTAACTAAACAATGACCAGTAGAAACCAGCTGCTTTTTAACGGTTTCTCCTGGGGGGAGCTGTTACAAAGGGGCAGGAGCAAGCCATTCAGTTTATACTTCAAGGTCAAGAAGACAGGAACATACTAGAATCATTATTCATTAATTAAACTGGGGAATTAACCAGAAGTCATGCTCACAATGACAATGCAAAGCTGCCAAGAGCTCCATCAGTGATATTTACCTTCCATCATCCCCAGCTAGCTCCAGCCTGAGGTTATTACAAGAACACACAGCTACATCACCACCAGTTGGTTTTGTGGAGGTAGCAGCAATACTCCAGAAGAGGCAAGAGTCTTGGGAACTCCTGGCTAGGCCCACAATTCCAGTGCTGGCCACCTCTACAAACCAGCTTCAGGTCCAAACCTGAAACAATTCCATGAGAAGAGTTGACACCGTCAAAACGGGGGTGCAGCTTGGCTGTCATCCCTCCAGCCATTCCATTGACACAGGCTGCTCGGTTCATGACCACCCCAGCTCCGGAGAATAAAGGAGGTGCCTCCCTGAACTGCCACTTCATTACAACCAGGTCAGCTGCAGTCAATGATACAGGCTGGGGTAGTTTTTTCCATTCAGAGAAGAGCCCCTCTGTGCCTGATGGTAGAGCCAACTCCACTCTGCTCCAAGCTGAGAGGCACATGGGCCCTTGCCCTTCAGTGGGAGCAGCATCAAAAGGAGGGGTTGCTCCACTGTCAGTTCCTACCAGTCCCAAGTAGCTGCACAAGGCTGTCGGCTTAAGGGTCAGATCCTTGCGGTGCTTGTTGCCAAAGCCTGGGTCACAGAGCATGAAAGCAGCTTGGGTGTGAGGGACTGGCAGGGTTCCCACCAAATCACACACCTGCTGCCAAGTGCTTTTCCCAGAGAGTTCATCGCCCCTTCCACTGAGTACCCTGGGCATCAATGAGAAGGGAGCTACAAAGACCAATCAAACCTGTCTCCTTTGTGACTGAGAGGACAGGCTGTTCCCAGGTGCTGCGAAAGCATGATTCTGAGGGCAAATAAATAAATTAAGGAGAGGACCTTGTCTGCTCAGCCCCAGGAGAGGACACCAGACAGGAATCTCAGGGACACAAACACACACAGAAAGGGGAGCCTAAAGGCAACGGAGTCAGAAACCAGACACTTGGGGGAACTTGAGATGTTCTCAGACAACAGGAGTCAGTCAGCGAGGTTTGCTTTCCCATGGTGCGGTGCTGGGGGGTGCATTTCAGGGACCAAAGGGTTGCTGCAGGGAAGGAGGGGCATGCCTACATGCACATACAAAGGCAGTCAGCCAGAGGAGCCATACACCTGTGAGGAAGAGGTGACAGTGCCCATTCCAGTCCTTCCCACAGCAGACTAAGGCTCAGAGGGGCCAATATAGTGCATGTGGGAGCTTCACATCAGGAGCGGTTGGCTAATGCACTGATAGGGGGATGCAGACCAGGGCAGGGGGCTAAACTCTCCTTGGCCTCCTGGCTAGCAGCATCCCGAGCCCTGCAAGTGGAACAGCTCTGCTCCCGCTAGCCACTGTGGAAGATGCGGATGCGCTGCACGATGTCCTGGCGGCAGAGGGGGCAGGTGCGCAGGGCCTCACAACACGTCTGGCAGCAGCATACGTGGCCACAGGTCAGGAAGATCATGTGGGCCTGTGGGGAGGAGGCAAGGTCACAAAGTTACTTTGCTCCTTCACTTGAGGAACCAAAACCTTGTACTCAGTTACCATCCAAGCCTCAATAAGAACAGGTTTTTTTCCCATGCCCTGCTTCCACAGAGAAAAAACAAGGCAGAGAGGACTCAGCCACAGTCACCCCCTGTGTTTGGCTGGGATAGAAATAGAAGGCAAGCACCCTGACCCTTGGTACCTCTCCTGACAGAGCACAATGCCTCTTGGGGAGATCCACTGTACCAAGCCAAGCCTTTGATTCAGTTAACTACCCAAACACACTGTGCAAGAAAAGGCCTAATGACACAGAGAGCTTCAGAAGCTCCCCCTGTGGAGACCTGTGTTTAAGACCGGGCCCCCGATCAGCTCCAGGAACAAGTCAGGGCTGAACTGGCAGCCCCAGCCTGGGCGTTTATCTCATCCACTCTATTTTCAGGGATAACCTAAAAGGAAAATTCATAACTCTCTCTCCCACAAACCCCAAACCCAAAAGGCTTTGTTTTGCTTCCCCCCTCACCCCTTGTCCCAAGGAAAGATGTGTTTAGGAGACAAGAGAAGTAGGGTACAGGCATTTCTACTCATTGCTGCCCTCTGCCAGTTTGACAGCCCAGGCCTGTAGAAGCCCAGGAGACGGGTGAAATTACAGACCATGGAGACACACTGGCCTGTGAGGAGTGCACAGTACCCTACAGCAGCCAGCTTTTGATCCTGCAAGCTACACATGGGAAGATGATGAGAGGGCTCCTGCCCAGTCTAGGCAGCCAGATTCTGCCTAGGGGCAAAGGCTGTGGGAGCTCTCTATTGTGCATGGCTCTGACCTACAGCACAGCAACACACACAGTCCCATTCCCAACTCCAGGGTCTTACCTCCCGTTCCATGCAGACAACACACTCCGACCTCCTCTCATCCAGCTCCAGCTGTGCAGCAGAAGGGAACACAGCACTGGGGATTTCTTCTGAGGGGGCACTGGGCTCTGGTGTGGCTGGGACCTCAGCCTCAGTTCTCTTCAACAGCTCTGCAATCACAAGAGAAAACCTGAGCACTAGACAGAGCTTTCTCTTCCAAACCAGCAAGTCTAAGCAGAACCAGGTAAGGGTGGTTCAGCACTCAGAGCCCTTCCACTTAAAGCAGCCTTACTGCAGTGAATGGCAGCACCCCTTTTGTACAACCAGCTCTTCTAGGGCTGCCATTTGTCCTGCTCCTAGCCTTGCCCCTCAAATCTCTTCTTCTCCACTTTCTGCTGTCCAACCTCACACGAAGCTGCAGACTACCCTGTCCAGTGGTATGAGGCTGCTCTGGACTTGATGGAGAACAAGTCTCTTTATACAACCACTAGCATTTAGTGTCAATGTATCTAACTCCCATTGATCAGGCAGAAAAACATGTGGTACCTGTACCTGGGATTGTTTCAGCCACAGCCAGGATCTCCTGGGCTCGCCTAAGGATGGTGTGCTGCAGGCCAGTTTCTGTAATTCCGATCTGCAGCACAAGGAGAGTTCAGTTAGCTCTGGGAGTGGGAAAGGCTGTGGTTCAAACAGCAGCCTTGGGCCTTGAGAAAGTGGGAGTGCCAGAGTTCCTTATTCTTAGCCTGGCATGATGATCCCCCTAAAGGGCATTAGGTGCTGAAGCCAGGGCCCAGGTGTCTCTTAGTATGGCCCTTCAAGTGGCATGGGGAACACCTAATGGAAACCAAAGCCTGCACAGCAGCTTCACAGACCCCCTCCATGCAGATGCTATGGGAACAGCTTCTGCAGAGCAGTAGCAATTCAGGGATGCTCTCAAAGTGTCAGTGCTCTGCTGTGACACAGGTCCCTGGAGGAGAAGACCCCAGGAGCAGACACATGAAACAGCACTGGTATTTCCAACCATCCCCAGAACAGGACTCTGCAATGTATCAGGTGCACGACCATGAGCTTCAGCAGGGTCCTGCATCTAGGGCCAAACTACAAGACCTAACAGGGTGCCCAGAGCTCAGGCAGCATTAACTCCCCTTGAGTTCAGTGTGAAGGCAGGGAATTGCTCTGCTGTGTGCTGTCTTGTACCTTTTCCAGGTCACTGGTGGTCATGGTGCCGAGCATTTCCAATGATATCCGATGATGTGCAAAGATCGGCATATACTGTTCAGCTGAGAGCTCAATGAGCAGGTTTACCAGCTGCCTTTCCATGCCCTCTTCCTGCAAAACACAAAGCAAGAGCTCAGCTTTTGCTTTGCTGCAGTAGCAGTCCAGGAACACTACCTGTGCAAGGCAGCTTTGCAGGTGGGTGGAACCCCATTCAGCGCTGCTCGGGATATGCAGAGAAAGGAACAGGCATTGCTCTCAATCTAGCTCTCAAGACCAAAACCCTGCTGGTTACTGGTAGCTGGCTGGAAGCATTTGGCTTTCTGAGTGACACTGGGCACTCGTACTTTGATGCTCTACAAGCCACAAAGCAAATACGACATCTCTGGAAAAATAAAACAAAGGAACACTAGCACTTCACGTTCCTGTAGGCACCCGCCACCTGAAGTGCTTTATAAACACAAGCCAATCTGCACCCAAACAGAGATAATTTCTTCCACCTCTTGGCCACTCCAGCAGCTATTTTAACAGCTTACAGCAGGACAGTGCAGGCATTTAGGGCAGGAAGTGAAAGGGACTCTTGCATTCAGCTGAAATGGCAGGGGGATGTAGGGAAGCCAAATAGAGCTGCCTGAGCTGAAGTTCAACTAAGACTAAAAAAAATCTATTGTAAAAATTGCTGCAGTGTTTTTGATCACCAGGACCAGTCTGAAATGCAAGTTTAGCTCACACCAGTAAATCTAAACACGGTGACTGCTGACCCCATACTCGGGTATTTGCTCACTACAAACCGAGGGTGTGGAGAGAGACCAATATCAAAAGCAGGGAGGGCAGTGGGACATGCCTGTCACCTACTTATACCTAAGGCAGGGCAGTCTTTTGTTACATGTAACACCGTGGGGCCCCTATACACTACTGCAGCAAGCAATAAGCAGCAGTGACCTGACCTGGAGCTTCAAGGAGAGAGGTTTCTGGTTTAGCAGGCGCTGGTATTGAATCAGCCAGTAGTTCTCTTGTTTTGTTTCACTTTTTGCTTCCATCTCATACTGGAAAAACACAACACAAAGTGATTCAGTTGGCTGTCTTAGGGGGAGCCTGACTTATGCAGTCAAGAAAGAAAGGCAACTTGCCCTGTGCATTACCAGTGGGCAGCAGGACTGTACATAAGGTGAACATTAACAGCCTCCCTCTGGCTGGCCCTGCTTTAACTCCCCACATCACACTTACGCTCTGCAGATCAGGAGGCTGCAGGGCACTCTTGGGATTCTGCATCCCCCTCCACACCCGCCCTTTGTTTGCTTTGGCCCTGCAGGCTGAGACCAGGTCTATGTTGAAGGGCTGCCACAGGCCAGGGCTGCTGACAGTGAGAGGAGACAGCATACCACAGCATCAGGCCATGGACACCATGCATAGTGGCAGTGGGGCCTGCTTTCCTCTTCCCAATCTCTCCCCTGGTTACTACTGCTACCAGAAGTCAAACTTCCTCTGGCACATGGGGGAGTGCCTGCCAGCCTCTGGCAAAGACAATGCTAGCACTGCTCTAAGAACCAGTCCAAGCCAAAGCCTGCTGAAGCCTCCTATCAGGACAAGCCCTGTGAGCACAGGATTTTAGAACCCTTTCCATCCCCTTTGCTTCCCCATTGCAAGCAGCCCCCTTCCTCCTCTCTATCCTGCAGAGCACAGTCTGTGTACTCCCTCATCCATGCAGAGAAGTTATATAGCCCCATTTACCAGGATTTGGTGCAGTTCCTCTTCCCTTTGTTTCTTCTCTTTGAGTAGCTGCTGCAGCAGATTACTAAGGGCTTGGCGTTGGTCTGCTATCACCTCCTGCAACAGAAGCAAAGGTATCCATGTCTTGGGACCACCTCTCTGGGATCAGCCACTCCTTCATTCCATCCAGGAGGGCAGGGATTATTTTGGCCAAAAATTCAACCCAATTTTGTTGTGCCATGTCCAAATGAACCTCAACAAATCTGAACAGATGGCTTGATCCTGCCCACACAGCTCTCCTAGGAGGTATTGCAACAAACATTAGTTACTGTTATGGTAATTTTCCTCTCTCTCCTATTTAACCTCCTGCATTAGTCCATGATGGATAACATCTCTCAGTCACAGCCCACAATGGACTGACCCACACCAGACTTACCTAAAACAGCCCTCTACCAACAGCCCACTCCCAAGTAGAGTTTCTGCTTTCCTTTACGGCAACTATGTTCCCTTTCCTTATTTGTAAAAAGGGCCATGGAAACTGAGTTCTACAAGTCTGCAGGTACCCAAGGCAGATAGGGTTCTTCTTGAACAGCATCTCTGTTCCCTTTCAGATATTAGTTCCTTGCCTACTGAACACAATCATACACCACAATGAGAGGGCATCTCACTCGGTTTGCTGGCTCTGTATGCTAAGGCAGGGAATGAGATTCTGTTATATGGCACCTTGAGGAGGGGGTTGTGTTGGAAGTAGAGGGTGCTACAGAAAAACAACTGCTGTTACAATGCACCACTAATCCTGACAGTGGGACAGTTCAAACCACTCCTGGACAGTCTAACCCACAGTGTTTCGCAGTGGCCACACCAGGCACAACTTTAAGGTTGCATCCAACTGGCCCTCTCTGCATCTGGTGGATCATCAAGTGGGATGCGGCCATCAGATGACTGGCTCAAAAGACTTCAGGCACCTGGGAAGAAGGGGTGGGTGATACTGTTTGGTGGTTAACTCCACAGAAGAGGCTTGATGAGCACAGGTCTGTCTCATGTGCAGACAGGATGCTCAGAGAGGCTCTTTTTGACCAGGATTCCTTGAGGGAAAAATGCAAACTGACAGGCTTGCCAGCTGGCACTTCCTCCTACAAGAACCTGGGTGTGTTCTGGTCAGTGCTTTTGGATATTGCTGTACCGGGGGCAAAGGGGTATTTTTCAGGAGAAATGACAGATGTGTCATGACTGCAGGTGAGCCTCTGTAGATAAAACTGGGAGAGGTCTAATCCAACAATTTTTAAGGTCTGAGAAATACTCCTTTCTAATAGGGCACTGAGTATAAGACCACTGACTAGCAAAACCCAAAACAGTCCCTTCTCATGATGCTCTTGCAAAGGTAAAATGATTCTGTGCAACAGAATGTCCTATTTACATGTTTTTTTAATGATTAATTTTTTTTTCAAACAGTGATCCAAGCATGTGGATTTTGTAAGCAAGAACTAACTGGATCAGGAGCACTGAACCGGCTCGCTTCCCTGAGGCTAGCAAGACAAACAGAGCAGAGAAAACCACCCACAAAACTCTGCTGGAAATGTACATCCATAAATAACACTGCTTTCATCCCCATAAGACTGTCCCACTCCAAGCCCTTCTTTCAGCCCTTTCACCAGAGGAAAGTCATGGGGAGGGGGCAGTAACTCCAGAGGCATTAGCCACTGATGCTCTCAGAGGCATCTCCCTGTTTAACATTTAAATGGCAATTCCTGCCCAATGCTCCCCTTCCCCACCAAGCCAGCTTTTCTTGGTGACTTGTTGAGGCCTTCTCTCACAGGAGATAGACCCCCAAGTGCCCTTGTGGGCACTCCTTTGGCCTCCATGAAGGGCATATATCAAGCTCTTCCCAAAGAGCCCTTTCACATACAGGAGATTTGGGAGGTTTCACCCCCTTCTACAGGTGTGGCTGGAACGAAGCTGCAGGGCTCCTCAGTGCAGCTCTGCAATGCCTGGGTCCTGTGAAGCCTGCGCTTCCCAGAAAGCATTAGTCCAGTTCAACGGGAAAGAAAGGGGCACAAACCAGGTGCTGCAAGCGGGGTCTGTGAAGCATCTACTATTGCCTAAAGATACCGGCCAATGATCTGATTAAGTAAATGTTGTGGGATACTGGAGATGAGAAGACAATTACTGCAAAGGCACAAGAAAAAAAACCCTAAAGCCAAACTGCCTTAACCCAACTTGAAATATCTTGACAGGTGATCCCAGCTGGATGAAAACTACCCTTTGATGGGAAGATGGCTGGGCAGGGTGGATGCAGTTATGGCCTTGGAGATATGGCTTAGAAAGACAAAGGCAGAGAATTGTATGTCACTTTGGCAGAGATTTTTTAAAAATTAAAATTAAAAAACCAAAACAATGTAAACATGAGATGCTTAGCAGGCGAGAGCTACGGGGAAAACTCCTACCACCAGGGTCCTTTAGGCCCAAGTTAGCCCAGAGTCCACCACCCATACCCAAAGGTAATCTGACTTATTTGTACACCGAATGTTACTCCAGATGGTTAGAAGCAGCAGAATGCTCAATGTTTGCAGGAAGTACCATGGCAAAGGGAAGTTTGGACTCTCCTGCTGGGAATTTCCCCTCATGACCAAACATAAAACCACCAGGAAGTTGCAAACAGGAAAAGGAAGCAAGCGGTGCCTCTGAAATCCCCGAGCAAAGGTACAGAGTGGGGCAGCCCAGAGCCCTACATACCTGCAGCGTCTCTGTGTCCAGTTCTTGCCTCTTTAACTCCAGCTGTGTCAGCTGCAATAACTCTGTCTCTATTAACTTAATCTAAACAGAAGATGAAATACTTTTTACTGACATGTGAAATTACTTTTATTTATGCTACCTTAGAGCCAGCCCCAACTGCACAGCTGCTCTGGGAGGGAAGCAGAGTGGGACGGTACAGCTGCCTAGCACTTTACAAAGGCTGTTATCACTCTGCAACCTATGTCTGACACGTGCTCCAGGACTAAGTAAACAACCCACTGGATGTTCATGCATAGCATCTCACCTGATGGCAATAAGTTCTTCTCTCCCATTCTGTCTGGCACTGCCTGTCTCTAAACACTTTCTGTCAAAGGCTTTGGGACTGTTTTATAGTTAGTTAATCTGATCCAAGTTCATGGCCATGAATAGAGACAAATGCCTCTCTCTCTGTCACTACCATTACTTAGATTGCAGGTCTCTGAGGCAGGGACCTTCTCTCTGGGGTATCTTTGCACGATGGGGTCCTTCCTTCCAAGACCACTGTATACGTATTTTAGATAGGGAAACTGAGGCACAGAGAGGTGAAGTGACTTGCCCAAAATCCCACAGAAAATGAGTGGAAAAGCCCAGAATAGAGCCAGATATGCCTGTCAGTCTTCTACCCCCACCACCAGGCCACATATCCTCACTGAGGAAAACCACCCTTGGCATGCAGCTGCCTGTGCCAAGTGTACCCAGACATTCCATTCATTGGAGGGGATGTCATTGGCCTGCAGGGGTGGCAGAGGCAGATGCTAAGCTTTTAACAGAGAAGTACAGTATCCAGCAGCAAGGCCTGAGGACCAAACACGTCTCAGACCACCAGGCTCTTATTTCTGGTGAACTCCAGCAACAGGCACTAAATGCCTTTAAGAAATGCCATATGTACAACCCATAGGCTATTAGCAAGTGGCAAAGATTGGACCCCATGTGGTTTGTTATATTGAAACAGGGCCATTAAACGTATTCATCCTGTCTCTTGAAAGGAGGGCCTCTCCCTAGGGTCAGGAGCAGGAAAGTCTGGAGCCTTCTGTTGAGACACCACCCATCTCTTCTCCATAATTCAACAGTGGGTGCATTTCAACTCTGTTCTACCCCAAGCTGAGTCTCATGCATCCACCCCCACTAATGTGCTTCACCTTTAGCAAAATGGAGTTCAAAAAGGTAGGCTGGCAACAGAAAAAAATAATAATGAGTTCATGCATCAACATGCAGGGCTAATGTACTGGATGGAGATGCAATGGATTCTCATGGAGGTGGCAGCCCCAGCAAAATACAAAAACTGCTAGATAGCAGAGGCCTAGTGGTTTCCATCTGTCCATTCCTTGGGAACCAATGCAGGATTGTCCTCTAGAATCCACTCTTGAGTGTTTTCTCCAGTCTAATACTTAGATGCCCCAAGTACAGAGGAATCCACTGTTCCCCATGTACCTAATAGCCTTCACTGTCACTTCATCATTTACAACTGAGAACTGGACAAATAACAGCAGTGCCCAATGCTTTGTTATGCAACCCACCAAGAAAGCAAAGAACATTTTGCTTTCTTCATCGCCTACTCACATTCACAGCACCTTACTTTCTTTAGAGCAGTCTCACCAGTTGGAGGAAGAAGCTGAATGGCTGGGTGCACTCTGGCCAGCATAGACTCACCTGGTTCCTGATCTGTCTGTGCATGAGATCTTTCTTCACCTGAAGGGCTTCAAAGGCAGCTTTCTGCATTTCACTCTAAGAGACAGATGACATCCTGCTTAGCCCAGGTGTGGGACCCACTCACACAGAGACAAATGGACCAATTATCCTCGCTAGAGTGAAATTAATTCATGCACACGTTTGCAGGGTGCTCAGCCCTGCCACAAGCTCAGTATCTCATTTTTTTATTGTAATAAGTTACTCTTCACAGCACCAACGAGTAACAAAGAATGACACGGTTTTACAGACAGAACACTTCTTATCATGTCCTGTCTGAGAAAGCTGATGGCAGGTATTTAGCGGAATTCACAGATTCATTAGAATCCGACGGGCCCGTGATGTAAGTGCTTCTGCTATGGCCATTATGAGGCACTGAAATTACAACCAACATTTTCCAAACAGCCAGTATGTTTGAACACTTTATTTGAAACTCCGTAGTCTGAGTTTAAGCAGCACTAAGCACCCACATTTCTACCTGGAAGCCATGAGAATTCAGGTTATTCAGCATCTCAGAAAAATCAGACCCAAGTGTCTCAAACCGGGCATTCAAAATTAGAGGTGCACTGAAAATGCTGGCCTGCAAGCAACCTACCCTTAGCCACCCAGCAAGTCAGCCCCAAAGATAGGTCTCCTGTTTTACAGTCTTCTACCACAACCACCAGACCAGCTCTGTTTCCCATGACCTTTACTGCTCCCTAAAAGTGGTGCTTTCCTTTTAGGGAGCATACCACCTTCCACTGACTCTCTGGGTACAGAAGAAGGAATCATATTTTTCCCTTTAGCCACCAAGGTCAGCTATCAAAGACTGCTGCAGCCCAATGAATTAATGTGGTCGACCCCACTCCCTAGCCCTCCTACAGCATGCAGTTAGGCTCCCCATTCACAAACCTACCTCCTGCAAGATCTGACTAATGGCCTTGCTTTGGTCCAGCTGCTGCCAAGCCAGGATTTGCTGGAACTTCTGATCCATCTCTGCCAGGCTGCAACAAGATACAGCACCAGGGAATTATTGCAGAGTCTCAGATTCTGACACAAACAAGAGAAGCTGCAAATGGAAAGGAGCACTGAGGGAACCCAGGGACAGGGATTTCCTGAAAGAGAGGAGTTTATTACTGAGCAAGGCTGGCCAGCCAAGACTCATCTCATACCTGTATACAGACAGTCCTCGGACTTATGATACAATTGGTTCCTGAAAACCACATCTTAAGTCGAAACGTTGCAACTCTGAACCAATTTTCTTGTAAGAAACTATGTTATAAATGGGGGATTGGTTCCTGGACCAAGGTCCGATACCCTATTTTCACAAAAATTACCCCAGAATTTTGTACTCGATCAATTATAGATGAGTAATATAGCTACACTAATATATTTATATTGTAAATAGCAATCATATTGATTTGGAAGGACTTCTTTGAGGTGACTTTGCTGGACTTTTTGAAGGGTTCCTGGCTGGAGTCTTCTCAGGAGTCTTGGCTGCAGGTTTTTCCAGAGTCTTGTCTGCTTTCTTAAAGAAAGCGTCCAAGGAAGTTTGGACAGATGTTCTCCAGGGAGATGGGTGACAGTGAACTTGTTCTCTGGTGTGGCATGGCGTTACATTGGATCAAGTGTTGTAAAGTCAAAACTGGTTCAGGAAGTTGAAACTGGGTGTCGATTTATAAACGCTGTAAGTGCAAAATGTTGTAATTCGAAACGTCGTAAGTCGAGGACTGCCTGTTTAGCAGGTTTGTAACCTCCTTCCCCATAACAAACTGGGCTGACAAATGAAAAGTTTACTGTGCTGCACCTGCTGAATGTAACTCAAGAGTTTAGATTAGCCATGAGCTTCTTGCAGACTATGTTGACCACATAATGAGTCTGAAAGCTAATATTATTTGTTTGGCAGCATGTTTTGATGAAGGGGACAAAATAATCTGCCCGTACGTTGATATTACATATAGTTAAAATATGAGAGAAAGGGTCATTCGCTGCCTTCTGCAAGTGGTATATACTATTCCAGATGGAAAATGGTGCCTAGCTACCCACTGGTAGATAGAATATTCTTCCTCTCCCTCCAATCAGGAGGGCCAAGCCCTCTCTGCTGAGAGCCAGGCAACGTGGCCAGATCTACATTACACCACAATCCTTAAAGGGGCACAGTCCAGATTAAATGGCACACCCCAGGAGGAGTTGGAAACCTTCTCCCCCACATTATGGAATGTGAAATTAGAAGAAATGCCTATGTCCAATTTTCAAATTTTATTGCGCTGTTTGTTTCCATC